ATGGATATTGGGTCGGCAGCTGGCAGTGTCTGCCACTCCGCTGTGAATGTAAAATGATAATTGCTGCTTTCAAAATATGTATCAGTGAAGCTCTACTGATGCTGTACACATGTTAATTGATAGGAACTGTTATCATCTCAATATTTCGGTTGAATGAGCTGAGATAGAGAGAGGTCAAAAAGTTAACTGGGTTATGAAGGAAGAGTCTAGCAGGAGGGATTTTCTAGCTGCTTCTGTAAGTGCCCTTTTTGTAGGAAGGAAGGAGATTCGGCAGGAGGGTGCATGCAAGGGGGTGACTCGGGGCCTTCCCAGAAAGCTTTCATTTCAGGGCTGAAAAGGCTGTGATGGCTGGAGGCCAGGCATATGCCAGCATCTCTTCAGTCCTCTCTCACGAGCAGTAGATCATCTTTTAAATAATCTTTTTCCCTTTTTTTTTTTTTTTTGCCAGAAGTCCTTTCAATTATGTGGAGCTTGCATGGGAATAATTAAACCCTGCACATCAGGCCACTCACTCCAATCATCCAGGCACATCAATTAACCAGAGACACATTTATCTAACTGACTGCTGGTCCCCTTCTGGTTTCAAAGCGTTTGCGCTGGGGCAGCTCATGGAGAGAAGAGGTATCTGTCCCCCAAAGACAGCTCATTTTCAAGGGCCTTTCTGGATCTAAAGCAATAGCAACCTTGTTTATTTTATTCAAGATTTGCTATTTATTTTTATTTATTCACCCAACAAATATATATTGAACACCTACTAAGCACAAGGCTCCATGCTAAGTTCTACCAGGGATACAGAGATAAGACAGACATGGCAAGTTGCTGGACCTCTCTTGTGCCTCAGTTTCCTCATCTACAAAATGAGAACAGTAGTCGTATCTACCTCATAGGATTGTGCATATTAAATGAGAAGATCCACGCAGAGCATTTAGCACAGTATCTGGCATAAAGCAACTGCATACACGTTTTCGGAGGCAGTTATTAGAGTATACACTCCAGCAAAATGAGGGATTAAAATAATAAAGAGGAAGATATGGAATCTAATTGTTTAGATCAGATGCTATGCTTAATAAATACTGGCTGTGATGATTACTAGCTTTATAAAGATCAGACAATGTCGAGTCTGGGAGGGCTGAGTTGGAATCTCTGCTTTTCCACTTACTGGCTGTGAGATCTCACCCCGTTATTTAATTTTCTGATCCTACCTTCTCATCCATAACATGGGAATAATAAAACCTACCTTACTGAGGTTCTGTGAAGGTTAAACAAGGCACACAGCACTTCCAGTTTATGAAGGAGTGAGCTGTCTTACAAGCATTATAAAAAATAGAACATGATGTGTGTGCAGAGAATGAAGGTAACTCTTTGATTCTTCATATTTCAATGCATTGTCCACATTTCTAATGATTGACGTGTGTTATTTTTTATTAGTGTTTTTTTCCAACCAAAGTAATACATGAGTCATGCAAAGTTAGAAGGTAAAATAGGCTTATGAGAAAAACGTCATTCCCAACCCGGCCGTCACCATCCCCAGTCCTGATCCCCAGAGGCAATCGCTTCTAACTCTTCAGTGCTGTTTTCTTCTGTCATTCACCTGCTGTTTCTGAGCAATATGCTTACATTGCTATTTATTGATATATTAGTGTTAAGATGTTATCAATTGACATATTGTTAGGTAGATGAGAATTTATCTGTCTTTCAGTAATAATCCACTCCAAGCACTTCCTGTCCCTCCATTCTCTCATTACATTAGGTCACAACTCTTGTGTTAGATCATCTGTGATGGTTACATTGTTGTGACTAGGTAAATATCGTTCATATTGAGGCAAGTTGTGCGCTGTGATTGTTTTCTTTTGTCTACATTTTTGTTTCTCCTGGAGTTAATATTGCCTCTTTTTTTTTTTTTGCATTAGCTCATTTTTTAAAATTTATTCCCTTCTGACTCTCAGATCTGTCCTTTGCCTAACAACATTATTTCCTAAATTTTCAAATATATTGGAAAACCATTCAGTGTTTTTCCCTGGCAACCTCTCGCTGGTGGATCCTCCATGATCTTGCTGTAATCTTGGCTAGCTCCTTCCTGCTTCACTTCCTTCCTGGGGCTTCCCTTGCTGCTCTCTCCAGCTAGGTTCCTTGCATTCTGAGCTCATATTTTCCTCTTTTTTGCTTTACTCCCTCATTTCACTGGAGCTTATCCTCTAGTAGCTTCTTAAGAAAAGGTATGTAGGAGATAAATATTTGGAGTTCTTGCCTTTCTGAAAATCATTTGATTCTATTTTCACATGTAGTAGTTTGGATGGGTTTAGGATTCTAGGTTAAAAAGTATTTCCTGTCAAAAATGTAAAGGCATCGCCTCACTGTCTCTGAGCTTCCAGTGTTGCTATTAAAGATCTGACACTACACTTTCTTCCATTCCTCTGCATGTAACCTGACGTTTTCTCTCTGGAAGCTTCTAGGGTCTTCTCTAATTTGCTGGTGGCCTGAAATTTCACAATGACATGCTCTGAGAAGGTTCTTTTCCACTTATTGTACTAAGCATTCAAAGGGTCCTTTAAATCTAAAGACTCATGTTCTTATACTTAGCGAATTCTCTAAAATTATTTCTCTGATCATTTCATACCTTAATTTATATTATATCCCCAAAAGATATACAAGAAAGGAAACAATCTCTAAAATTTCCTTTTAGGGTTTCTATGCAGTGGATATTAGACCTTCCAAATTGATCCATTTTTACCCCCTTGTCTTCTTCCTCCTCTTTTTTATTTAACTTTTTGGGCCATTTCCTCAACTTTATCTTCCAAATCTTCTACAGATTTTAAATTTCTGCTGCCTTATTTTTAATTGCCAAGAACTCCTTCTCGTTTCTTGGTTGTCACCTTCACAGCACCCACTACCACTGCTGTCTAGTCGCAATGTCTTAGCTCACCCCCCAGGGGATCTTAATTATCGGGTCACATTTTTTTAGGTTTTCTCTTATTCTGTGCATTGTCTGCTTGCCATGAGTTCCTGTTTCACTTTGTCCCCTTCCATCTCTGCCTTTCACGTGGACACTTTCCTCAAACATCAAGTGATCTTTGGTCCTCTGTTCTTAAATGGGAGGCGACAAAAACCAGGGTTCTGTTTGTCATCGAAGGGGCTTCACTGCGGGGCGAGTGGGCACTGTCCGTGCCTGCATAACACCAGGGAGACGGCATTTACCATCCACCAAGCAAGTGATTCCTCTTTTGAGAAGCGACCTTTGTTCTTTTTAACCTTGAGCTTGGTTTTCATTCTATCTTAAGTTTATATGTTAAAGTGACATTTCAGGGAGGTTTTGTGGACACACTTTCTGGTTACGGCCCTTTAAAAAAGTAAACTTTTTGTAAAAAGCAGTTCTAGATGCTATATGGTAGTAATTAAGGGAAAGTCAGAGAACCTTGGGTCTAAATCCTACTTTTTATGCTAGTTATGTGACCTTGAACTTCTCCAAGCTTTTACTTTCTTGGTTGTAAGATGGGGATGATGATGACGACGGATGATACCACCACCTACCTCAAAGAGTTCTTGAGGTTTGTCAGTTACGGGTAACAAAGTGCCTGGTGCACCGTGAACAGTCTCTCAGCCTGGCGGGTGACGTTTGGTCAGGTGAATATGGGACAGATTAGCCAGTCTCTCGAGTGATCAAGAGATTGACTTTTCAATCCTGGAAATCTTCCCTGACCTGAGGACCAAGTTCTCGAATGCTATAATCAAAATTCTTAGGACAGAAAGAGTTCAGCCTCATTGTTGGTTGTCTTGTGCCTCAGTTTCCCAGCCTGTGCTGACATGGTGGGAAGGCTGAATAGCAAGGCAAGCAGGGCAGACCTGTTCTCCCTTTCTTGCAATTAAAACCTTTCTTACAATCTTTTTAAAAACCCTTTGTTTCTGATGGTAAAAGAAACACATGTTCTCTTTTTTAAAAAATGCAAATGCAGAAAGTCTAACTTCCCTTTGAGTTTGCTCATGGGCGCGTGGAGCTCTCTGCTGCTTTCTCGGGGGCCCTTGGCTCTGTAGACCACCTCCTCCCCAGCCCTGGGCAGTTGTGCTGCTGCCCCTGTCCCAGCCACGGAGCAGGGAGGCCATGAGGAGACCAAGGAGACGGTGTCCTCCAGAGAAGCGCATCGTGCCACCTGCCCGGGGCCGAGGGCCTCTGACAGCTCACTTCAACCTGAGCTGACACCCGACAAGAGCAGCTTTGTCAGCCCTGTGAGATCTAATGTCACCTGTGATTAGTCCTCAAAGCCAAAACCAAGCAAGTTCCTGATTAAACAGCGGCATCCCAGGGTCCCCGTCACTCCTGAGTGGAGCTGTCCTGCTGCAGCAGCCTGAGGCCTCCCCACAGGGCTCCGAGCCGCCGTCTTCCTCACCGTCCAGGGTCTGAACACCGCCTTTCCCTCTGCCCTTCCCAGAAAAACCCACACCCGACTGGGCTCCTAGAGCGGCTGAGCAGGGCACTGACAATGGCCTCGTCGTCACCATAAGGGACGTCACCCTTGGGAAATTACAGCGTGGGTTTGCCATGGCATATGCCTGCCTAAACCACGACAAGCTGGAGGCTGAAAACATAATTCACAGCGCAGGGAACTCTTCTGGGCTCGGGAACAGGGTTTGCTGCTTTTGACCTCGTGAATTAGGAGCTGATTAGAGCATCTCCACTCTGCAGGTGCTTGTCCCAAAGCCCTGTGAAGACCCCCAACGCTCCCATCTGCCCTTCTCCCCATTCCCGGGGTCTCGGGACCTGCAGTCAGTGTCCTTCTGAGTGTCCACGCACTGGGTGGGCCAGAAGCCCTCCTCGCTCAGCAACCCCGGCACACTCCACCCTGTCAGCGTCACCTGGGACGACATGCACCTCGGGCCTTCCCGGCTTTTTCTTCCAAAGCAGAGCGTCCCTTTGATACTTGAGTGGGTCCCTCTCTCCGACCTCTGCCCCTGCTCCAAGGCTGATTTTCACTTTCTTCGCAGATCCTGGCCATCCCCACTCTGGATCCAACGGGAGCCTGGCTCGAGGGAAGACAAGATCCAGCCAGAAGGTGTAGAAGTCAGACCCAATGACAGGATAGCAGCACCCACGCCCTGTGCACCTGCTCCATGCCAGGTACTTTGCATATGGTAGCCCTCTACGTGACGAAATAGCAAGTGAGGGTCACCTGAGATGTGGCAGGGGCTGGGAGGGGAGGAGGGGCAGGAAGCAGGCTCTGACGCCAGCCGGAGTGTGGGGGACAGAGAAGTTGCTGGCGTGCCTGGGATGCGACTGTGACGAGATCGTGGGGCTGGCAGGCAGCAAATCACGCGGGGCCTGGAGGTCAAAATCCAGATGTTGAACTTCATTGTAAGAGCGAGAGGCAGCCACATCACAGGTGTCTTCAATGCACGAGCGAGGGACGTGAGCCCAGTGGCTGTCACAGACTTTGTCCTTGGGTGGGTAACGTGTCCTGTGCTCCCCAAGTAAAGGTGAGCAACACAGCCAGGGGCCCCTTAGCTTGCTTTTCGGCTGTTTGTGGAGAGACTGGTGTCATCTAGGATTTGGCTCAGACTGGAAGCTAAACCCTGCCGCGGGCCGGGTCAGAGCTGCTGCAGCTCTGGCCAAAACTGGCAGGTAGGCACAGACCCTCTGGCCCGGGGGGGCTGTTAAAATTCAGAGCCTCCCCATCTCACAGTGCATTTATGGGCAAATCGCTTTCACAGAAACTGCCCAGAGCTTGACACAAGCCGCTGGGCTCGTCCCAGGTGATGCGGCTGCATCAGGCTGAGTTATAGTGAAGTATTTGGAAAGGAAAATATATTTCAAATTGTGTCTGAGACATTCTGTTCCTTTTGAGGCTGGCTACACTCCCTATAGTTTTTACCCATGAAATATTTTGTACATATAAAAATATATATAGGTAATGTGTATCGCTGAGACAAAGAACAGCAACATGGACACTTGTGTGCCCAGCTGAAGCAGGGTCCCCTGGGCATCCTTCCAAGGTCACATCTCTCTGGCTGCCCCTCCCAGGGGAGCCACCATCCTGATTTGTATCAGTTCCTTGCTTCCTGGGATAGTTTTGCTATATATTCCTAATAGCAAAGTTTCATTTTGTATGTTTTCTAAATTTATGTAGACATTTTCGTCTCATATGTCTTCTGTGACTTGCTTTTTCGCTCAGCACCATGTTCCCAAGGTCCTTCCCTGCTGATGCACGTGCCTGTGTTTCTTTGCGTTTTCGCTGCTATAGAATGCGCCATTGCTGAATTTCCAGGTTTTTTCCCCACTCTATCGCCTTAGGGTACTCGTGTGCTTTCCAGGTTCTTGGATACACGATGCCACTGTTGAACATTCTTGCACAGGTCTCCTGGCACACGTGGGTAGATTTTTCCAGGGATTATACCATGGTTGTGTGGTGTGCGTGTTCAACCCCACCAGGTAAAGCCAACTTGTTTTCCCATCCTCAAGTTTTTGCAACCGCTAACAAGTGTCTGTCGGGGAGCCCCTGCGGGAGAAGAGGCGCAATATCGTTCTCGTCCTTTGCCGCTCCAGGTGGGAACAGATGGGCCCAGATCGTCATTCCTCACAGCTTGGATTCTTGGCTGTATGAACTCTAATCCTTCACTCGGCTGCTTTGTTTTACCTCTTCCTCTGCTCAAAACACTACCTGCTCTCTGAGGGGGGTGTTTTAGGGGAGACTTCATGCCGGAAGGTCTGGGCAGGAATCCCAGTTAGACTTGCTGTGCACTCCTGAGCGAGTGCATAGGCTCTCTGTTTCTTGGGTTCTTTGTCTACAAAACAGGAACAAGCATTTCCACCTCTCGGAGCAGCTGTGATAATTAAATGAGATGATTTCTAGAAAGGGTCAGACACAATGCCAAGCACACAGGGCCACCCAGGCAGGAACATGTTCTGTTCCTCCAGCTGCGTGTGCTGCTGCCCCCTGCAGGCCTCCTCGGGCGCTGCAGTGGCTTGGGTGGGCACCTCGCAGTGCAGGGACCACGTCCTGGCACAGGGCTTAACATGGGGCAGACGCTCGAGTTGGCTGAGGATGAGGAGGCCCTCTCACCTGGGCACGTAGGAACTGGCTGGCTTTCCCAGGTTCGACTTGACCACTGGTTGCCAAGTGGCTTTGCTGCATGGGGCTGTTACTGATGGGACAGTTTCCAACAAAATCGAAGGTTTGTGATTTCGTTGCACCTGAGCTAGGAGTGTCATTTCCTGTTTGGTGGCTGCACGGGCCACCCCAGTCCCCAGAAGGAGCATTTCTGTGGCACCGAGCTCTCTCGGAACTAGGGGTTCACACGTGCCAATTACAACCTCCTTGTCCGTAGAGGCCGGTGAGAAATGCTTCTCGGTCCATCCAGACCTGCCTGTCTTCCTGCCTTGAGCTGCCATGTAACCAGTTCCGAGGCACGAGCCTTCTGACTCCCCAAAAGGTAGAAGCTTCTCGACCCCTGACTTTGGGTTCTTTTGTGCATTCACGGTGCTGGGTGAGTCTTTGCACAAAGCAGATGCATTTCCCAGTTAGGAGGCCTTGGCTGCAGATCACAGTAGACCCAACTTCACGTGGCTTAGGGCAAAGGGCAGTTAGTACCTTACAGATGAGAGTGCAGAGGTGGGAGGGGTCCAGAGCTGGTTAGTGCAGTGCCCGGCAGGTGACATCAAGGATCCAGGGTCTTTCTATCTCTCAGCCTTGCCACCCTGCAGGTGTTAGCATTTGCCCTCGGGGGGTCCTCAGGTCACAAGCTGGATGCAGTGACCCTAAGTGTCACATACACCTTCACACACCAATACCCACAAGCTCAATGATGGAGTGTCCCTCCTTTGTGCTTCTGTTAAAGACCAAGGAAAACCACCAGAATCGCCCCCCGTGTACTTTCCCGCAAGCTGCATGGGCCAAAATCACTTTGTGCACTTCCTCCTGAACCACTGGTAGAGGTCAAACAAGATCCACCCCTGGCAGCTCAGATGTCTGGCCTCCCTGAAGCATGAGGCTGCCCGATTCCTGGAAAAAAAAAAAATTGGGATTCTGTTAGCAGAAAGAGCAGAAGGGTAGTGTGGAGAGACACCGGTAGTGTCTGCCACCTGCTCCATAAATAATTTGTTGAAGCAAATTCATAGGATGTCAACTCCTTGAAAATAATAAAGGCAAGTACATTTTCCTTTCTGAATGAAAATGATCATGCTGACACATTGTCAGAAGGAGCCATTATCGTGGGCATATTTATGTTGCACCGGATATAAACCCTCACCGATGACCTAGGCAGCCGGTGCCACGTGCTGGCAAAATGGCTCATAGAAATTAAGACTTAGGTCTGTGAAGCAAAGTTGTTATTGTCTATACCAACTTCACTGGACTGAATGGGGACCCAAATCCTCATTTTTAATCACTTCAAATCTGGCTGTTGCTCATAAAACTAAATAGATATTTTCACTTGAGGTTCTTTGGTTGCATGGAAAAAATTCCACTTAAAATAGCTTAAATTAGTGGGGAGGTTACTGAAGGCCCACAAGGGCCAGAAACCACATGTGGCCAAGGCTCGTCGGGACAGGAACTGAGTTCTGCACCATAAGAGGCGACCCCGCCACCCTTCTCTCAGAGCCCTGTGGTCTCTGTGGCGTTGCTCGGCAGGCAGCTTCCCCTACGTGCTGTCCCTTCTCTGCTCTGACAGCCTTGACCTGCCTGTGTCTCTCTTCACCTGGCTCAGCTCCAGCCTCCGTGGCTGCCCTGATGCCACGGTCCAGCTCAATTCCCCACAGCAAACTCGCCCATCCCACCGACAGGAAATCTCTGAATCCAGGAATTTGACTGTTGCCACCCAGCTTGTCAATTGGTCCTCCTTGGAGCAGGACAGGTGGCCGTGGCCAGAGAGGTTATTCGGTACTAACAAGGTATCAGGGCTGTGGCCTTCGGAGAGGATGTGGTAGGAAGGCACTGGTGTGGCTACTGCCCTAGACTAGGCTTTCATCTCTGTTAACTTTTCTTTTCTTTTTTTCAGACTATACAAGTAATACATATATATATATACATATATATATATATATATGTATATATATATACACTTCTTGTAAAATACTGAAACAGTGTTGGCCACTAACCTCTGAACTCATTGCTCTTCCCAGATATAACCACTGTAATCAGATCCTTTCAAACCCCCCACCCCACACACACACACACACACACACACACACACACACACTCACATACGCACATATATCTATATAATTATAGACTTGCTTTTGTTGGATTACATAAATGATTTCATATTATATATATTCTGAAATTTACTTCTTTTTAAACAGTGTATCTGGGGATGTTTTCATGTCACCACATCCTTTTAAAATGCTATAGAGTATAGTACAAAAGGACCAGGAGTATCTGCTGATGGGCAATTAGGTTGTTTCCATTTTTACTATTACAAACAGTGCTAAATGTTCAAGTGAAAAACTAAGAGAAAATTAAATATCCTATAATAGGGAAATGGATAAATAGTATATTCTTGTAATGGAATAATATACAACAGTTAAAAGATGAATAAACCAACTAAAAATCACAGATTATCAAATTGGATTTAAAAAAAACAAGATCACCTATATACTGTTTACAGTATATAGATATAAAGAGGTTGAAAGTAAAAGGACAGAAAAATATATCATGTTAACAACAATCATAAGAGAGCTGGAGTGGCTACACTAATATCAGACCAAGTAGACTTTAAAACAAAAATATTACTAGAGATAAAGAAAAACATTTCCTAATGATAAAAGGGTCAATCCACCAGAAAGATATAATAGTTATAAACATATATTCACCTAACAGAGCCCCAAATACATGAAGCAAAGACAGAATTGGAGGGAGAAATACCCAATTCAACTTTATTACGCTACTTTCAATAATGAATAGAACAGCTAGGTGGAAGATCTGGAAATAGAAGACTTGAATAAGACTATAAACAAACTAGACCTAATAGACAACACAACTGTACTACTACACTCCTCCAACAGCAGCGGAATAATACATTTTTCTCAAGTACACACCTGAAACATTCCCTAGGACAGATTGTATACTAGCCCATAAGACAACCCTCAAGAAGTTTGAAATGATTATGATGATACAAAGTATAATTTCCCCACAATATAATTAAATATCAGTAATAGAAAGAAATTTGGAAATTCACAAATATGGGGAAATTAAACAGCACACTCCTACTAAATAACCAATGAATCAAGGAAAAATTCACAAGGAAAATTTAAAAATCACAAGGGAATTAGAAATTAGAAAATGTGTTTGTGAAAACACAGCATACCAAAACTTACAGGATGCAGCTAAAGCAGTGCTCAGAGGAAAAATCATCCCTATAATTGCCTGTATTAACAAAGAAGAAAGGGCCAGGCCCAGTGGCTCACATCTATAATCACAGCACTTTGAGAAGCCGAGGCAGGAGGATCACATAAGGCCAGGAGTTCCAGACCAGCCTGGGCAATATAGCAAGACCCCATCTCTACAAAAAATAATTTTTTAAATTAGCTAGGTATGGTGGCATGTGCCTGTAGTTCTAGCTACTTGGGAGGCTGAAGCAGAAAAATCACTTGAGCCCAGGAGTTCAAAGTTATGGTAAGCTATGATCATACCACTGCACTCCAGCCTAGGTGACAAAGAAAAAAAGAAAAGAAAGATAGATAGATCTCAAATAAATAACCTAACCTTCCACCTTACAAAAGTAGAAAAAGAAGAGGAGCTAACTAAATCCAAAGCAAGGAGAGAAACAGAAATAATAAAGACTAGGGCAGAAATAAATATACAGAAAATTAATGAAACCAAAAGTTGGTTCTTCGAAATATCAACAAAATTGACAAACCTATAGCTGGACTGACTGAGGAAAAAAAGAGAGAAGATTCAAATTACTGCAATCAGAAATGAATGAAGGGACGTTATAAGTGACCTTACAGAGATAAAAAGGATTGTGAAAGTAACTGTGAGCAGTTGGCTGCCAATAAATTAGATAACTTAGATAAAATGGACAAATTCCTAGAAAGACACAAACTACTGAAACTTCCTCAAGAAAAACAGAAAATATAAATAGATCTATAATAATAAAGGAGACTGAATTTGTTAAAAAAAAAAAAAAGATAGTAATAATGATACACAAAGAGCCCAAGTCTGGATATCTTCACTTATAAGTCCTACCCAACAAAAGAAAAATTAATCCCAATTCTTCAAAAACTAAAGTAGATGTGGAAGGACCACATCTTAACTCATTCTATGAGGACAGTATTACAGTGATATCAAAACTAGACAATGACCTCACAGAACAAGAAAACTATAGGCCAATATCTGTTATGAATATAGATGCAAAAATTTTTTAAAAAACAGCTAATTGAATCCACCAACATATAAAAATAGTTATACACCATGACTGAGTGGGATTTATGCCAGGAATACAAAGTTTGTTTAACATCTGAAAATCAGTCAGTGTGATACATCATATCAATAAAATAAAAACCACATGACAATTTCAATAGATACAGAAAAATCAAGCACCCTTTCGTGACAAAAACATTCAACAAACCACAAATGTAAGGAAACATCCTCAACCTGATAAAAGACATCTGTTTGAAAAACAAAAACAAAAATCTACACCTAATGTCATACTTCATAATGAAAGATTGGGTGCTCTCCCCCTAAGATCAGGAACAAGATAAGGATGTCTGCTCTCACCACTTCTATCTAACATTGTGCTGGGGGTTCTAGCCAGGGCAGTTATGAAAGAAAGAGAAATAAAAGGCATATAGATTGGAAAGATAGAAATAAAACTATCTATATTTGCAAATGACATGACCTTATATGTAGGATATCGTAAGGCAACTACTAACAAAGTATTAGAACTAATAAATGATTTCAGCAAGATCATAAAATATAAGATCAATATACAAAATCAATTGTATATCTGTAGACCAGCAATGAATAGTCCACAAATGAAATTAAGAAAACAACTCCCATTTACAATGTCATCAAAAGTAATAAAATATTTAGAAATAAATTTAACAAAAGAAGTATAAGACTTCTACACTGAAAACTATAAAACATTGCTGAAAGAAATTAAAGAAGATTTAAATAAACAAAAAGACATCCTATGTTCATGGATCGGAACACTTAATATTATTAGACAGCAATACTCCCCAAATTGATCAACATATTCAGTGGATTCACTATCAAAATACCAGCTCCCTTTTTTGCAGAAATTGACAAACTAATCCTTAAATTCATGTGGAATTGTAAGGGGCACCTAATAGAGGCTAAAACAATCTTGAAAAAGAACAAGGTTGAAGGACTCATACTTCACAATTTGAAAACCTACTACAAATCTACAGTAATCAAGACAATATAGTACTGGAATAAGGATAGACATATAGATCAATGGAATGGAATTGCTAGTGCAGAAACAAACATTTACGTTTATGGTAGGTTGATTTTCCACAAGGGTGCCAAGATCATTCAATCAGGAAAGAATAGTCTTTCCAACAAATTGTGCTGGGACAACTGGATACCCACACATAAAATAATGCAGTTGGACCCTTACCTCACACCATACACAAAAATTAACTCAAAATGGACCATAGGCCTCAGTGTAAGAGCTAAAATATAAAACTCTAAGATAAAAACAGTATTATGTCTTCATCACCTTGAGTTTTTTAGATACATGCCAAAAGCACAAATGAAAAAAGAAAAAAGAAATAAATTGGACAACATTAAAATTTAAAACTTTTGTGCTATAAACAATGCCTTTGAGAAATTGAAAAACAACTAACAAAATGGGAAAAAATATTTGCAAGCCATATATCTGTTAAGGGACTTGCATCCAGAATACATAACAAACTCCTACGACTCAATAATAAAAGGACAAACAACCCAATTTTAAAATGGACAAAGGATTTGAATAGACATTTCTCAATACACAAATGGCCAATAGGCACATGAAAAGATGTTCAATATCTTTAGTCTTTAGGAAAATGCAAATCGAAGCCACAATGAGATACCGCTCACACCCAGTAGAATAGCTATAATAAAAAGACAGACAATACCAAGTGTTAGCAAGAATGTAGAGAAATTAAAACCCTCCTACATTGCTAGTGGAAATGTAAAATGAATGCAGCTCTTTGGAAAACAGTATGGCAGGTCCTCAAAATGTTAAACATAGAGTTACCATATGGTCCACTGGTTCCACTCCTGTGTATCTACCCAGGGGAAATAAAAACATACATTCACACAAAAACTCATACATGAATGTTCATAGCAGCTATTCATAGTAGACAGCTTCTACTCATAGTAGACAAAAGATAGAAACAACTCAAATGTCCATCAATGGGTGGATGGATAAACAAAACGTGCTCTATCCATACAATGAAAAATTACCTGGCAAGTTGAAATAAATAAAGTAGTGATACATGCTACAACATGGATGAACCTTGAAAGCATTATGCTGAGTGAAAGAAGCCAGTCACAAAAGACCATCCATTGTATGAAATGTCCAGAAAAGGCAAAACTATAGAGACAGAAAGTAGATTAGTGGTTGCCTAAGGGTTGGAGGAGCAGGTATTGGAGGGAAATTGGGAGTGACTAATAAAGTGTATGGGGTCTCTGTTTGAAATGATGAAAATATTTTAAAATTGACTGTGGGGATGGTTGTACAACTCTATGAATATACTGAAACCATTGAATTGTACACTTAAAAAGGTGAATTGTATGGTATGTGGATTATATCTCAATAAAGCTGTTTTTAAAAGAAAGAAATGAAGTATTGACACATGCTTCAACCTGAATGAACCTTGGAAACATTATGCTAAGTAAAAGATGCTAGTGACAAAAGACCACACAAATCTGTAGACAGACAGTAAATCAGTGGTTGCTAATGAGGGAGATGGTAGGAGGAGGTCAAGAGTGACTAATGGCCAGGCATGGTGGCTAACACCTGTAATCTTAGTACTTTGGGAGGCTGAGGGAGGAGGATCGCTTCAAGTTCTAGACCAGCCTGGGCAACAGCGAGACGCCGTCTCTAAAAAAGTAAAAAATTATCCGGGCATGGTGGCACACACCTATAGCCCCAGCTACTTGGGAGGCTGAGGCAGGAGGATCGCTTGAGCACTGGAGTTCAAGGCTACAGTGAGCTATTATGACACCACTGCACTCTAGCCCAGGCAACAGAGTGAGACCCTGTTTCAAAAAAAAAAAAAAAAGTGAATACTAATGGGAATGGGGTTTCTTTTAACGAGGACAGAAATATTCTAAAATATTATATTGTGGTAATGACTGCACACTTCACAAGTATATTAAAAAAAAAACATTGAATTGTACACGTTAAGTCAGTAATTATATGGTATGTGAATTATATCTCATTAAAGCTGTTTTTAAAAATGAATGAATTAGATCTATATGTATCCACCTAGAAAAATCTCAAAAAAATGTGGAGGGGAAAAAGCACATTGGGAAAGGAAACCTACAGTATAACACCATTTATGTGAAATTTTAAAACAAAAAACAACAGTATTAATATATATTGTTTAGGGAGCGAAACATTCTTAGTAAGACATAAAAACTCACGTGGAAAAGGTGTACTCCAACTGCAGGATTTTCCTTCTCTCCCCTATAAATAATCTTTTAAATTTTTTATGGCTTAACCTTCCATTGTTTATGTTTAGTATATAAGGAAATATATATTTTTTATATTCATATCCCCTTCCTTTCTTAGATAAAAAGTAGAGTGCCATATATACTTTTCTCTTAGGTACAGTACTTTTTTTTTTAACTAAACCATATATTCTAGAGATCACTCCAAAGGAGTTTATAGAGCTGTTCCTGTGAGGCTCTTTTATTAAGCTTGTTGGGGTTTATGTCTAAAAGGAGGAGGGCCAGAGATGGATGACTACATGGAGACGCTGAAGGATGAGGAGGACGCCTTATGGGAGAATGTGGAGTGCAACCGGCACATGCTAAGTCGCTACATCAACCCCGCCAAGCTCACCCCCTACCTGCGCCAGTGCAAGGTCATTGATGAGCAAGATGAAGATGAAGTGCTCAATGCTCCCATGCTGCCATCCAAGATCAACCGGGCAGGTAACCTTAGAAGTGCTTTTAAGGGAAGAGGGTGGGCAGCTTCAGGACATACCCTTCCATTAGCTGTACCAAAATGAGGTTTCTCTAGGTCAGGGAGTTTTAAACTGGGGTCCATAGACCACCATCCACCCTTGTCCCCCCACCAAGCTGCCTGTGTATAGAGCTTAGAGGATTCATGAACTTGAGAGACAAGGAGAGAATCACATCTTTATTTTACAACCTAAACTGAAATTAGCATTGCTTTCAATTAAGAATGTCAGTAGGCAACAAATTACAGTAGTGATTAGTAATTCCTGTGATTTAGTCAACAATAAAAATTACAGATATCTTCATATCAGATTACAGCTGTTGCAGATCTCTCAAAATACCATTTACACTCATCTTTCCTTTGAAATTACAGTACTTATTAGACCTGCCAAGAGATCTTGTTATTTAATGTATTAATAAAGAAGTACATTTATTACTGAATCACAAATTTGTTTAATATTTAACTGTATTTTATTATAATCGGTTTCCTTGGTAATCTGATGTATTTTATCTGTTTAAAAATATTATTCTGAGAAGGGGTCCTTAGGCTCTTCCAGCCTGACTTGGGGACTATGGCAGTTTATCAGATTCAGTAAAGATAATAGGTATGGTTTGTGAAACTTGTTTTAGTTTTAAATATGTACATGTGTATATACATATATATGTTTATAGACCTTATGTATGGACACTAGGCCACAATGTAAAGTGTATTTCTTTCTGTGGATCACAAATTAAAAGGTTTGAGAATCACTGTTCTCCAGCTTGGCTGGTGATAAACAGCTTCTAAGCTATGATTCAATGGCAGACATCACTAATCAACCACAGCATGGGTCCCCACTGAGTTTACGTGTAACTGTGGAATCCTTCTCAAAACAGTGCTCCAGGCAGCTTCACCAAACAATCAGAGTTGACATAACACAAAACTTATTTATTTTGTCTGTCCTACAGAAAAAGGTTGAGTTACTCAAGTAAAGATATATCTGAAAATAAAATGCTTAAGTAAGGGCCAAGAAACATAAGCAATAAGTGGAACCAGTAGTATAGACACTGGAAACTTCTGGGGAGATTATATTTAGGTTAATGATGTTTCCATACTCTAATAATCCCAAAGAAGAACATGGAGCTATGCCTGCTTCCCATGACTTTTCCTAGCTCCCCAACCAAATATTTGCCTTCCGGTTCTGAATCCCAGAGAACCACATATTATCCCATGACTGTTATTGTGCTTCTAGCCTCCTTCAGTCACAGAAGAGATGGTGCCTGTATGGTTCGTTTTAGCCCTGGTCAATTGGGACGCTCTTTAAAACTGTTGGTTTCCTGCAGCTGCAAGTCCATTTATCCTGGTTCTACCAATTTATTATAGAAAGGAAATGAACATTCACTGAACCCCTGCTGAGCACCTGGCACCTTGATTTATTATAATAATACATTATGTGGACTTCAAGATACAACTTAGGAGTGATAGAATGTGGTGAGACTGTCTTACAGTTTATTGAGGGATATAAATTTAGGATAAGACCAAACATGGAGACTTGCTTCCATTCAGACATGTATTCTTCTCACGGAGAGATTTGGTCTTTCCCCTAGGCCGATTGTTGGACATTCTACATACCAAAGGGCAAAGGGGCTATGTGGTCTTTTTGGAGAGCCTGGAATTTTACTACCCAGAACTGTACAAACTGGTGACTGGGAAGGAGCCCACCCGGAGGTTCTCTACCATTGTGGGTAAGTGGCTTTGCCATCAGGAACATATGCACCCTAATAGGAGATGGATGTGTGTGTGTGTCCGCAGCAGAGGGACAGTTCTAAATCTCTGGGCCTGTGACATGTAGGATTTGGGGGCTGCCAACCACTTATTTTGCCTGATGGTGAAAGGTAGGTGACAGAGGGACAAACTGAAGCAGGGGACTAGAGAAGTGAGTGTTCATGGAACACCCACCACGAATGGTGCTGGGGTGGAACAAAAAAGTTCATTCTACCCTTTGGATCTTGTCCTTGCCTTGGCTGCTCTCTTGCCAGCGTCCCATGGGAGAGAGCCCTTAGGCATCTCGTCTTCTTAATTTTCCCTCCTAAGCAATATTGAGTCAGTCTTCTCTCCATCTCCACCACTACCCCCAGTCCAGACTCACACAACCCATCAACGCCCTACATCCATTCCTGATCAGTCCCAATGTTTTCTCCATTCCTCTCATTACCCTCCCGATTGAAACCTTCGGTCGTTTTTCATTGCTTCTGTGTAAAGACCCAGCGCTTTAATGCAGCTCGCAAAGACCCTACCTGGTCCAGCCCCTTTCTTCTCTCTCTCCTACACACCCTCGTAGCTCCCTATACCTTTACATTGTGGAGTCCTGATAGTCTGTAGTTACATTTGCGGGTGATCATTGATTTTGTTAATGTCTGTCCCTATTACTACACCATAAGCTATACCGGGACCAAGGCCGTTTCACTCACTCTGAATCCCCAATGCCTAATGGGTAGTAGAAGCTCAGTAAAATGCTGGTGAGTGAATGAATGAACGAATGACACCTGCCCCGCGTCTGGAACCTCCTTTTTCCCCTTCCCAGTCCTCAGGCCTGACTGAGTGCCCCCTCTCCACAGTGGAGGAGGGCCACGAGGGCCTCACGCACTTCCTGATGAATGAGGTCATCAAGCTGCAGCAGCAGATGAAGGCCAAGGACCTGCAGCGGTGCGAGCTGCTGGCCAAGTCTCGGCAGCTGGAGGACGAGAAGAAGCAGCTGACGCTGACCCGGGTGGAGCTGCTGACCTTCCAGGAGCGCTACTACAAGATGAAGGAGGAGCGAGACAGCTACAACGACGAGCTGGTCAAGGTGAAGGACGACAACTACAATTTAGCCCTGCGCTACGCCCAGCTCAGTGAGGAAAAAAACATGGCGGTGATGAGGAGCCGCGACCTCCAGCTCGAGGTGAGGGGCGCCGCGGACTGCACGGCCAAGCTGAGCGAGGGGGAAACAAACGTCGCTGGGGCTAAAGACCCCCATACAGGCACGTGCAGACACTCACTGGCCACCCGAGCTTAGCGCCCAGCCAGCTGAGTAGGAATACAGGACACAGGGGTTCTAAGGCCTACATCCACCATGCGCATGCGGGCGTCCCCTGTAGTACTTAGTACCAGGGGCTCGGGAGCCTGGATGTGCTGTGCGCATGTGCAGACCAGCTCACCCGGACCCAGCCAGGGCTTTCCGACGCTGGCTTGAGGCCCAGATCCACTCTGCGCATGCGCATGTGCGTGCAGATCCGGGGGTTGGGGGGGGGGCCTTAGTGTGGCTAGCACCACAATGCGCGTGTGCAGACATGCGCACACAGGCCCTGCGTCGGGGGACATGGTGGCTCCAGCGGACGGACTGTGGCCCTTGGCAAAATTAACATGGAAATGGACATAGTACCTGTTCCTTGGTTGTGTGAACTTCTTGGGGCCATGACTCTGACCTTCATCATTGTATCCACAAAGCTCAGCATGGTGCCTGGCCTAGTGAGATAGTCGATACATCTATCAGTGAAGGACCTACCCGCTAAACGATCGATGTCATTAATGAGTTTACTTCCGAACTGGACTTGCTTCATTCATTCTTTCTTTCTTTCTATTTATTGAGTGCCACCTTGCACCAGGCTCTTTTCCAGCAATATGTAACTCAAGACTAAGGCTATGCTGTCATGGAGCTCATGTTGTAATCAGAAAACAAATACATAAATGCCTGATAGTAGTAAGTGCTATCAAGAAAAGAAGACAGGGTATGAGGACAGAGAACAAGGCGTGCTGTTTTAAACAGGGTGGTCAGGAAAGGTCTTTGAGAAGGGGACACATGAGCAGAGATCTGAAGAAAGTGGGGGAGCCAGCCACATAAGTCTCAGGAGGAAAGCACATGCAAAGGCCCCAAGTAGGGGGCAGACTTTATTTTATTTTGAGAAAATGGCAAGAGAGTCAATGAGGCTGGAGCCAAATGTACAAATGGTACAAAAGGAGGTGGGAGAGATGGCCAGGGTCCAGATTATGGAGGCATGGTAAAAACTTTGGAATTTATTCTAGTCATAATGGGAAGCTACTGAAGGATTGAAAGCTGAGGAGTAGCAATTGATTTATTATCTTGGAAGGATCACTCCGGCTGCTGGGTGGAAAATAAACTCTCAGAATATTTATTAAGCACCTGCCATGTGTAAGGCACTGTGCTAAGCGCTGTGGGAGACACAGGGATAAATAACCTGAGCTCTGCTCAGGTCACTTACAATTTAGTGAAGCAGACAGATCAGTAAACAATCCCCTAGGATTCAGGTGAACTGAGTCAGTGGTATAGCAGGCAATGGAGTGTTTCCATTAAGAGCATGCGCTTTTAAGTCCGATAGTTTTGAGTTCAAATTCTGATGTCATTCTTTACCACTTACTTAGCTGTTGGCCTCAGTTTCCTCATTTGTAAATGGCAGTAATGAAAATAATATCTCTGCCCTAGGATTGCTGAGATACTGAACCATAAGTCTTTGGAAGAGTGGCTGACCCAGTAAGCACCCCACATTGCTAGCACCCCATGCCCACTTGTGTGGAACTCAGGATCTGGACCTAGCGCAAGACACTTGTGTTGATCTTTGAAAATGCTGAGGGTTTCTTCTTTCTTTCTTGTGTGTGTGTGTGTGTGTGTGTGTGTGCGCGCGCACCCAGGAAGAGAGGTGTTTTACCTAGGATTTGGAAAAGTTAACCTGTGGCAGGGACTTACAAATTTCCTAGAACTTCCTCCTGTATTACGTTTCCCTGGAGATATGTTAATAGTAAGAAAGCATGTAGAGCTTGAAAGAACATCTGGCCAATGGAGTCCCTGAGCCATGTCTCAGCCCCAGGCGGCTTCCCTGCGTCCCCCTTCCTTCATTATCTCAGGCCATTGGGGTGCAGCAGTTCTTTCCTTGCTAAAGTCACCACCCAATCTGCTAAAGTCAGATTTCTGAGACTGTTCTTCCCACAAGCCTAGATTTGAAAGATGACGCCTTCCCCTTTGGTGCCTCCTTTGCAGCCCTGAGAACAGCCTTCTTGTTTGGGGTATTTTACCAAAGCCAATCAGTTTGGGGAAGCAGACAGACGTAGTCACAAAGGTTCAAGAAGTTTTCTGCTAGTCCCAGTTCCTGATATTAAACTCTTGAGGGTGAAAATCAGCACATCTCCATTTGTCCCATTCCCAGATGCAGTAGCTGCCTCCTCCAGGGAGCCCATCTTTCTGGCACAGAGATCCTGCAAACTTACAGTCTGATGGATTTCATGCAAGGCTTTTTCTTTTCTTTCTTTCTTTTTTTTTTTTTTTTTTTTTGCAGTAGTGCCATTTGTTCAAATAAAATCTTCTGTGAAGTCCAAGAGGACAAAACATACAAATGGAGCTGCTCTGGGGCATAAAGTTGGGTGGGGGGAGCCCCAAACCCTGACTTCTCCACCCTCTGTTCATTCCCTTCTATAACCCTGGGGTTCTTCACGAAATCCTTGAGTTCTGAGGACCAGAATTTGAAACCCATTCATAAAAGGGCAGTGATACGGGTAGCATACCTTGAGGAAACACCAGTTTGAGTATCTTTTATCCTAATCTGTAACCTCTTCCACCCCATAAAAGTTACCCGAGGGAATTTTCTCTGAGACATATAGCCCCTTTAAAACTATTCTAAATTGACTAATCAGGAACTCTCCATCAACAAGGAGATGGTGATTTGTTTCACTGGAGAAGGTTTCTGTGAGCCCTTCTCTGCCACCAACTGGAAGGAGGGAGGGGCACACACAGGTTATGCTGGAAGTCCAGTGGGATCTGGGGACGCATTGCCTTTTCTGAGTGTTTCTTGCCAGCTGCATTTTCCCCTGGGTACCCTTGGGGTGTTTCAGATCGATCAACTAAAGCACCGATTGAATAAGATGGAGGAGGAATGTAAGCTGGAGAGAAATCAGTCGCTGAAACTGAAGAACGACATCGAGAATCGGCCCAAGAAGGAACAGGTTCTGGAACTGGAGCGGGAGAATGAGATGCTGAAGACCAAAAACCAGGAGCTGCAGTCCATCATACAGGTGAGGGCCTGGGCGGGGCAGGATGGCGGCTGGCACAGGACAAACATGCCTGCTGGAGTATGAGTCCCAGAGTCCCGCCCAAACCTCACTGACTGCAGGGCCACAGACATGTGTGTGATCCCTGGGTTCCTTGCTTTCCTCCTCTGTAATGAGGTGACCTACACCACCCACTTGCTGAGACATGGCATTCTGTGAGATAATATTTGTGAATTTGAAGCCCTCCGTGAAAATCACCATGCACGTGGAAAACAATGCCCTGAGCCCTGGGAGAAGACAAAAGTCCATCCAGGAAACCTCCTTGCCCTTAAAGAGTTCAAGAAACTCAACTTTAATTCTTTGCCACTTGTTCAAACCTCAGATGCCCCCACAGTTGTCATCACAGAATCACCTGTGGGTGTGGAGGAGGAAGTTACTGAGGAGTAACATCCCAGAACACATCTGCAGGGAAAGAAACAAAATACGTCCCCTACTTCCTCCAAAACTGTTTCCCTCCTCTGCCCCCCAGACTGGCTGCCTGGGTTTCAGATTCTGTTTCAGAGCAGAGGATGAATCCTGGTTTAATCGGAACAGATTAAGTGATATTTAGGGGGAGGCATCTGGAACGCAGATCAGCCTTCCCTTTGTTGTCACCTGTGCAGTGTTTGGGGAGCAGCAACCGCTTCTCTGGGCTCTGATAAGAGCCTGGCAGAACAATAGGCTCGGGATAGTCCCGAGCAGATGCTCCCGAGCAGAAGTGGGTTCTCTGCTTCTTTCCAGGTGATAAACTTCTTAAATGATAAGCTGCTTAGAGACCCCCAGAGACATCTCTTCTCGCCTCTGCCTTTCTGGCACAAAACCTTCTGCTGTGTCAGTGTCTGTTGCTGGCTCTTCTGTCCCCCGCCTTCCAGGGCCACCTTGCTCCCCACCCCTCACCCCGACACTGTCAAACCTCCCACCTGCCCGCCCAGGCCGGGAAGCGCAGCCTGCCAGACTCAGACAAGGCCATCCTGGACATCTTGGAGCACGACCGTAAGGAAGCCCTGGAGGACCGACAGGAGCTGGTCAACAAGATCTATAACCTGCAGGAGGAGGTCCGCCAGGCAGAGGAGCTGCGAGACAAGGTGGGAGTGAGGGGCAGTGTCCCCAACCAGTGCCCTCACGCTGGCCCTTTTACACCAGGGTGCACTGACTGATGTGTGTCAGCAGGACCTCCTGACCCCACACTCCTTTCCAGGGACTGGTCTGACCCCTGCTATAAATTCCCTCTACTTCCCAGCATCCCGCTCCTTTCAGTTATGTATGAGTCATCATGTTGTCTCAGCACCTGTCCTCCCCTCCTGGCCGAAGGCCACAGGAGGGCCAGCACCGTATCTGCCCTGTCCTCCCCACCTTACCTGGCACATACTGCCATGGTCCCCTCCACTCAGACAGCTGGCTCTCAGAGAGACAGGCCACGTCCTGACCATGCTGGCTCAGGGAAGGACGAGCCAGCTCTAGCCGGTGGGAAGACATGACCAGAAAACAGCCGTGAGCCCCGACCTGTCGATTGCTTGATGCACGTATTGATTTCTCCGTGTCACTCACAGTACCTGGAGGAGAAGGAAGACTTGGAGCTCAAGTGCTCGACCCTGGGGAAGGACTGCGAGATGTACAAGCACCGCATGAACACGGTCATGCTGCAGCTGGAGGAGGTGGAGCGCGAGCGGGACCAGGTGCGGACACCCCTGAGGTTTTGTCCAGTGTAAGGTCACTGACTACGCAGGGATTGCTCACGAATCCCTCTTTCCTATTTCTGTTCCAAAGAGGAATTCCACTCCTAGAGGCTTTCAGAATCCACAGGCATTCGGGTATCGCAGGGGTCTCAGCTGGGCTCCAACGGCTTCCGCAACCAAGCGTGGTCCTTAAATGCCCGGTCTCTGGAGTGAGAGGGACAGGTTCAGATCCCAGCCCCACCTTCATAAGGTGTGTGCCCACAGGCAAGCTGCCACCCCCTTGACACCTCAGCGCCCTCATCTGTAAAATGGGGAACATCACAGTATCGTTGCCTCAGGGTGTGGGCTCCTGGAGATGCACGTCACAGCTCTCAACACGGTACCTGACGCATCTCTGGGCTGGATAAACAGCTCTGTGATAGTGTTGACGAAGGAGGTAGTGATTGAAACGCCAAAGACTCAAGGTCAAGACAGAAGCCACGCTGATGTGGCTGCCCGCTGGGTGGGAGACCGTGGGTGTCCCCGGGCGCAATCTGGGTGGGTCGGGGTGATGCGCCAAAGCAGCCCTCGCCCCGCTTCTCCTCGCAGGCCTTCCACTCCCGAGACGCAGCCCAGACGCAGTACTCGCAGTGCTTGATCGAAAAGGACAAGTACAGGAAGCAGATCCGCGAGCTGGAGGAGAAGAACGACGAGATGCGCATCGAGATGGTGCGGCGGGAAGCCTGCATCGTCAACCTGGAGAGCAAGCTCCGGCGCCTCTCCAAGGACAGTGGCTGCCTTGACCAGGTGGGCCGGGCTGGGCCGGGTCCCCCTTACCGAAGCCGGTACCCTCCCGGCACCAGTGGACAGCTGGCCAGGGTCACCACCTCCCCATGCAATGGCTCTTGTATGCTGGAAGCCAGAAGTACACCCTTCCCTCCCACACCCAGGACAATCCACGTCCTTTAACCCTCTGTACGTGTCTGTGTAGAGACGAGTAGGAGCTGCTCATTTGGAAGCTAGGAGATTCAGGGTGAAGCCTGGCCCAGCCACTTCCTAGCTGGGCACCTTCTCTCTTAAGGGCTTCGACACCCCCTCAGTTGACCACAGCCAGCCACTGACCTCCAGTGGGGCTTCCCCCACCTTCTGAGCCATCACTGAGTTTAAGCCGCCCTGCTCTTGTTAGAGTTACTGGTGCCCATGAACAAACTGTCAGTTACGGACAGTGTGAATTGCAGCATGCACTTCCCAGCAGGGGCCAGGCACTCAGAAATGAATGAATGCTGCCGTGGAGGGTTTATGGGGTGCGTCACATACAGGTGCAGTGCAGAGTGCTTTCTGTGCATTGCCTCATTTAACCCGCAGAACTGTCTTGCAAGGAAGGCACATACTGTCCTCATTTACAAAGGAAGGGACCCAGATACATGCAGCTGGGGGGCTTGCCAGAGCGCCCAGCTCCTCAGTGGCCTGGGGGTGCTATAATAAGGCCCACCCCTGTCCTCAGAGGACTCAGACCCCAACACTGGGGGCACATGCAACAGCATGACATTTCAGCGCAATGCCATAAACTCCAGGTTAAAGGGGTGCCAGGGAGCTCAGGGGAGGAGGCCTGCCTTCCCTCTGGGTTTCAGGAAACACCCCCTGCAGCAGGGGGGTTCTCAGTGGCCCCAAGACCTCCACCTGGATGTTCTTCTCCCAACCTCACCTGGCCAGGTCCGCTCACCTTCTGCTCTTGGCTGAAGTGCCACTTCCCCTGGGAGACCTTGGCCCCATCACGGGAACCAGGCCCCTCTATGACATGAGTATATGCCACAGTTTGTAATCTCACATAAGCTCCATGAAGGGCCCTCTGTTTCCAACGCCCAGCACAATACCAGGCACAGGGGGGGCCCTCGGGGAGTGCCTTCCGAATCCGTGCAGAAAGGCTGGGATGGCACCTGGTTAGGGGAGGAGAGCAGGACCAGTGTCCCCAGCCTCAGGATTGGCACTTCTGCCTCTGTGGAGTCAGGGGCAGGGGTAGGGGGCAGTTACGGGCATGTCAGGGTGGGCTGCGTGTGTAGGGAGCTCGGATTCCATTCTGGGACCCTGCAGGGTTCATGCAGGGAAGTAGGCCAGAAAGCTTTGGGTTTGGAGGCAGCATAGCATGAGGGCATTGTGTGGCTTTGGGGGTCACACGGAAGCTCCTTAAGGCCCTTGCACCTCAGCTTCCTATTTTGTAAAAAGTGATTATTAAAAACTGTGTGTACTTGTCAGGGAGGATTCAGTGAGATGATGGATGTGAAGCCCTCAGGCCGGTACCCGGCACTGTTCTTCATCATTGTTCAGTCATTCCGCAATATCTGTAATATTTTTAGCCTAGGCACAGGGCTAGAAATTGGAAATATAGTGGTGGCATCAGCTTTATGGGACCAAGACCAGGTAGGAGGCGACGTCCTTCCTGTAGTTAAAGAAGACGAGGGCCTGGTCCAGGTGCCGGCGGGTGGGTGGGCAGCAAGGACGAGAGGCCTAGGAGGAGGCAGCCATTCGGGCTGGAATGAGAGGCCTCAGGGATGGCAGGCTCAGGAAAGAGCAGCCGTTCTGAGTGTCGGGCTTGGGAGGCCAAAGGAACAATGGCACCATGAGCCTCACTGTTTTGCCAACCAGTAGCTGCCCGTCAAGCCGTGTCACCAGCACCAGCTTCTCTTTGTCCCCAGAGCCTGCCCAGGAACCTGCCCGTGACCATCATCTCACAGAACTTCGGGGACGCCAGCCCCAGGACCAACGGCCAAGAAGCAGATGATTCTTCAACCTCAGAGGAGTCGCCCGAAGACAGCAAGTACTTCCTGCCCTACCACCCGCCCCGGCGCAGGATGAACCTGAAGGGCATCCAGGTACTGGGTGTGGAGGGCAGGCGGCACAGGTGCCCTTGTCGGACCCTGGGGCGGAAGGACGGGGGCGCCAGCCCCGCAGGAGACGAGGGCACATCATAGCTGTGCGTGTTCTGGGTGGGACTCGGGACTCAGATGTGGCTCCACCTGTTCCAGCCGTGTGAATGGAAAGCATGCCACTCCTGCTTTTTGCTTATTTATTTGTTTTTGCTGAATCCTTCTCGAAGTTAAGAGAGAAAGAGAATGAAATAAGCATTATTTCCACATGCATTTGTTTATCCACCAAGTAAGTATAGAGTGCTGTCACCTGCCAGGCACCATTTTGGGGGCCGGAGTTACAGCAGTAATCCTGTGGCTTTGCTCAGGACCTGGTACAGTCGTGGCAGTGGCCGGCTCCTGATAAGGAGGGAGGGAGGGAGGCCACCTCCCGGGGCTGGCGGTGCCCTTGCCTCTCACAGCCCTGCACACACGAGCCAGGGCCCTGAAGCAGCACATCAGAGCCCAATCGGGAAACCATTAGCACCTCATGCTGAGGGTGGCCAGGCAGCTGCCCAGAGCCTCATCCTCTCCTGGCAGTTCCTTGCATACCCAGCTCCGCTCAGCCTCATGTCCCCACACGTCGCCCCTTCCCCTCGGCTGCTCTTGGCTCTCGTCCTGTCTTCTGCCAGCACCATGTTGCATGGCCTCCCTGGGAGGCTGTTTGTCTGCACCAGCAGCTGCCTGGCTCGAGCCCAGGGGAGCCGCTGCGTCTCGTCGTCCCGGCCGCGGGAGATGGCACCGCGTTCGTTCTGTGCCAACCTAGGCGGCCGCGTGACGAGGGACAGGATGGCGCACCTCATTTCATTTTTTTCCTTAGCTCCAGTGACATGTGTCTGGGGCCTTGTTTGATTTGTGTCCTGCGTCTCGTTTCTTCCCTTCCCCTCTCTTCAGCTGCAGAGAGCCAAATCCCCCATCAGCCTGAAGCGAACATCAGATTTTCAAGGTTAGTGAGACGCCCGGATCCCTCTCGCCATCTCATCCGTCATTCCAGCTCTCTCGGTCTATCTGTTTCTCCCAGTGGGTCCATCAGTCCTGCAGGGTAAACCTGGAGAGGACTTGGGGGTCCCCAGGTGATGGGGTCTGCCCAGATAGCAACTAACGTTTATCGTTATCCAAAGTGAGTGGGAGCCGGGACTGCAGACATATCACCTCTGGGGTTCCCTCCACCCCACCCCGCCACTCCCGGTGGGCCTGTCCAGAGCCCCTGACTCTTCCACTGAACTCTGCATCTCTGCTCACGGGTTGTCAGCTAGAGGACCGTGTGCCCTTCCCCCAAGGCTTTGGGCTGGGCTGTCCCCAGACTCGTGAGGCTGTCTGTTCACCCGCAAGCCTCTGGTCCTCCGAGACACACTGCCTCCAGCATCCTCCCTCCCATTCTTGCTGGTCTACGTGAGTGACAGATTGGCCAGCAAGGCTTGGCCCAGGCAAATCAAGCACCTACTATGTGCCAGGTGCTGGAAGGTCCTGGTAGACACCCATGGAGCCCATGCACTCAGGCAAGGCCATAGCCAGGAGGCGGAATGTGCGTGGGACACTGCGAAAGCATGTGGAGGAAGGTTGGAGAAGGATCCCTCAGGAAGGGAACATTTAAACGGGGCCTGGAAAAGGCAGCATTTTGGCCAATGGGCAGTCTCCAGAGAGACTCCTCAGGACAGATCTTAGCACGTAAACAGTTGTGGAGACCAGGAAGTGCATAGCACAGAAGCTGCCCTGCAGCGGTGGCTCACAGAGCAGGAGAGCCCTGGGGCTGAGACTTTAGGTACCATGCTGGAGACGTGGCCCGGTCTTGCACAGAGAGGGCCTCCAGGTGGCTCCAGGGAGGGCAGGAGAGTGAGGAGTCCAGACCCCAGCTTCAGGCAGTTCTCGTCAAGCTTGGAGGGCAGGGGAGAGGCCCAGAGCTGGGGCCCAGTCCAGATCCCTCATGGCTGTGTCAGGAATCTCAGTGGCCCTCCTATAAGGAGGGAAATGCAAAGGGCCTGGGGCCCGTGGAAGTAGAGAAGGTGTTTTCCCCAAAAGGAAGGGAGAGGGTACACCCAGCCACGGGGCTTTATTGCTCCTTACCAGACCCCGACAGGCTTCCCAGTGGGAGGTGCCAGGGGCCTAGCGAAGGACAACAAGGCACCCACCAACTGGGGCATATATGTGCATCTGTCTATGTCTGTCTGTGTCTGTGCACGTGCACACACACACAGCATGGTGGGGGGTGACCAGGAGGGGACACAGATGACAAAGCCATCAGACGGGGGCCGAGAGGAGTGTGCAGAGTCCCCAGGCAGCGGGGCGACGCCAAGGGAGACTTTACTGAGGGGGGACAGACCTGCCCGGCCCCCACTTTCCCTGGTTCACTGGTTGACCAGCCCTGCCTATCAGGGGTAAAGTGGAATCCATTCTGAGGATGGAGAATTTGGTAAGGGGACCTGTGCCCCCAGCTGTGCATTGTCCCCAGAGAATGCCCAGAATGTCCCCAGAGACAAATGACATCGTCCACCTTGACCCAGGCTGCTGGGGCTGGCCCTGGCAGGGGACAGGGGCATGTTGGTAAGAAGGCCGTCCCAGGAGCCTACATTTGGGTTGGGATGAGAAGAGAAGGTTTCGAGCGCTCTTCCTCCTGCAGATGCCAGAGGGGGGTCCCCACCCCGCCTGGCAGGTCGAGGCTCAGGGCGGATGGCCGGGTAGAAGAGCCCTGCCCTCCGTGCCCCTCACCCTGATTTCCTTTCCCTCCCTTTTCTCTCTCTCCGCTCTCTTTTCCACTTCATCCTCTCCTGGACCCTTCCCTTCTCCCTGTGTCTCCGGCATCTCTGGGACAGTCAAGGGACATGAAGACGAAGGCACCGATGCCAGCCCCCGCTCCTCCAACTCCCTGCCCGTCAGCAGCTCCTTCTCCAAGATGGTGCGTCTCTGCCCCGCTGCCCACCCCCAGCACCCGGCCCAGGTCCCCACCTCGCCCTCCTGGGGTACAGCCCAGCCTTCCTTATGTTTATTTAAAGACCTTTCCACAGGCTCACAATGTATTTACACCTTCCTGCTGCCTCCTTTCCCAATTTAACACTTGGTGGGAGGAGGAGCCAGGCCTCCGAGGGGCTGTAGCGAATCGAGCAGGCAGCTGAAAATTCTGCTGCAGCTTCGCCCCTGACGGCTCCTGCGGCCTGGGGAGGCGGGAGGGGGGCTGCAAGCTGCAGGAGCCGCCACAGAGCCCAGGCTGGGCCCCCTCCTGGCCCAGTGTCCCCCACTACCCAGCTGCAGCCCACCAGGCCAGAGGCAGGCAGGGTCCCAGCCACCGCATCCGGTGCTGCTTGCCCCCAGCCAGGCAACAGAAGGCACAGGATTAGAAATTCTAACCCCGAGGGGAAGCCCTAGGAAGCTTGTCGGCTCAGCTTCCAAAATCAGGCCCTAGGGGAGGCAGAGATTTCATAACGAATGATGCCTGTCTGATGGAGGCTCTGGGTGGCAAAATCCAAGGCTCTTATTTAAGGCAGCCCTTGCCAGGAGCTGGCAGGCCTGCTTTCAGAGGTGACCCTCCAGCAGCTGTGCTGTCCAGGGGCATCCACTGCCCTCCCCGCCACACTCCAGACCCACACTGTCCATCATGCCCACAGCAGGCGCAGCTGCGGGACATCATGCTCAGCCTGTGCGGGTGGCAAGACACCCCCTGGCCTCCAGGGCCTTGGCTGGTTCCCTCCTGCCTGCATCCTCCCTGTGAGCAGATGTGTGAGCAGATGTGCTCCCAGCTCGGCGGCTGCAGCACCCCAGGCTGAGCTCGAGCCTTCTCCAGCCAAGGTCGCTGCTGAGACCCAGCTCGCTGCGCCCACGCTGCCTGAGTCGGGGGGCAGAACCAATCCAAGTTAAATTTAGTCCCTGTGTATATAATATTTATGCCCACGGAGCCTGGGTGCATGAATATCCGGCTCCAGCAACACGTCCGTGTGTCTAAGCAGCCCCACCGGAGCCGCAGCAGCATCATGTCAATCACCGCCGAGCCCCCGGGAAACGACTCCATCGTCAGGCGCTATAAGGAAGATGCACCTCATCGCAGGTGGGTGGCAGGTGGAGGGAGGAGAGGGGACATCTGCTGGTCCCCACCGCGTGCCAGTTTGCTTACCCCATCCCTGGCTAGTCTGTGCTCAAAAACTCAGCCGTCCTTCCCTTCCCCTGCCCGTGTACACACGTGCACACACACGCTCACCTCACTCACACGAGTTCCCTCCCTACCCTCCTCATGTTTTGCAGCACAGTCGAAGAAGACAATGACAGTGGTGGCTTCGACGCCTTAGACCTGGACGGTAGGTGCCTGTCAAGTCTGAGAGGGTCACAGGTGCATCGCGAAAGAGCAGGGCACCTCTCACACACCTCTGACCTGCCTAGGAAGGGACCCTGCACATAGTAGGTCCTCAGGAAATGCCTATGGAATGACAAAGTGAAGGAGATGAGCCTCTGTCCCCAGGCTTGCCTATGGCCAGAGACACCCTGGGAGCGTGTTCTCTATCTCATGGGCAGTGGGGACAGAATTAGGAGAAATGCTCTCGTGAGTCGTAGCCAAGCCCTGCAGAGGTGCTTGGCCCATATACCAGGTCCAGTTTAATCCAACAGCTGCTTCTGGAAATACTATTGTTATCACCTTTCACAGATGAGGAAAGGGAGTCTTAGAGATACAGAAGAACAGTAGGGTGGAGGGTGGGTCGGACGCAGGGAGTGTTCATAAGAAATCCATATATTAAGCTGTTAACCAACCTGCACAAAATGAGTATGGGGAAGGGGGGCAAGGTTATTTTTCATTCCCTGAAATTGGGGGTGTAAGGCAGACAGACACAGATGGGGCTGAGGCTATGGGATGGTCCTAAAACACCCTCATGGGCAGGGCTGGTGCTGTGAGGAGGGCACTCCCTGGGCCCAGAGCAGGCCACGCAGAGCCAGAACCACAGGCTTGGCCCCCAGGGCATGTGTGCAGTGCCAGGCACCCTGCCCTCCCAGCCAGGAAGTTCAGCTCGGCCCAGCACCCCTCGCCCCGCCTCATGCTAGGTGCAGTGACACAGAGACTCATATCCCCAAGTCCCTGCCTTGGCAGACACGGTGGGGTTACAGCTGTGAGCCAGTGGGGCAGACGGATGCAGGTTCACAGACCCAAGGAGCATCTGGATGGGTCAGTGGGAGGGAGAGAAGTAGGAAGGGCTGAGCTGGGCTCTCTGGAGATGACTCCATGTTTGCCTCTGGAGGGTGGCAGCAGGGGCCTGCGGCTCGGAAGCCCCCAGATGTGCCCTGCCAGCCCCCTCGGGTCCAGGCTGCCCCACCCTGCCCCCGCCCCATGCCGACCAAGGCTGCCAGCAGATGAGAGGCAAGATTAGCGGTCCTCCTTAATGGGGGACCATCAGAGCCACCAAGTGTTAAAGATAGGTTAGCACCTCATCGAGGCTGGGTAATGAGAAGAATTGAAAGAGTTTGGAAAGGGGAGAGCTGGAAAGAGAGGCCTGGGCAACCGTCCAAGGTATTTTGCAGTGTCGGGAAAAATATCTCTGCAGAGAAGCCTTTGTTATCAGCCCCGAGCAGGACTCGCAGGTCCGGAGTGTGTGGAGTGGGGGTCTCTCCCCCAGGGCCCCCAGTCAGGCCACGAGTGAATGTGGGGAGGGACCTCTGTGTCTGGCCCAGACCCTCCTCTTTCTGCCCTGCCCAGGCCCAGAGGGCGGAAGCTGGTGGGTGTTGGAGAGACCTAGGTGGCCCCAAAATGAAAATCTGAGTGAGGACTTGATTCAAAGACAGAACCAGCAACTGCCAATGGAAAGACACCCCTCCCCCAACCCCGCCACCTTTCCAGAACAAGAAAAGGATGAAAAGGATTCTTAAAAACCAGATCCCTACTAAGCAGGCACTTCTGGAGGCAGGAATGGCTCTCGCGGAAAGGACGCAGGACTGGACTACTGGTGCCCTGGGCCTCAGGGGACCCTCAGGGACGGGCAGGGGCGGGAAAGCCAACCTCCCTCCATTCGGGTGCTGACGGGCCCTTGCTCCCTTGCAGATGACAGTCACGAGCGCGGCTCCTTTGGACCCCCCTCTGTCCACTCCTCCTCCTCCTCCCACCAGTCCGAGGGCCTGGACGCCTACGACCTGGAGCAGGTCAACCTCATGTTCAGGAAGTTCTCTCTGGAAAGGTGCCTCCGCCATTGAGCACAGGGGAAGCTCGGGTGGGGCAGGGGCGGGACAAAGGCCCCTCATTCCCTTGCTCCCCCACACGTCACACCACGTGGCCAGCAAGGGGGCCAGGATGCCCCAGCCCCTGATGGACACAGGAGGCTGTGCCGCCAGGGTCCCCGCGCCCGTCTCACCCCGGCGTGTCCTGGTGGAGCCTTTCTCTCCTCAGCCCAGCTGCCTAACTGCCATTTCCTTTCCTGACGCAGACCTTTCCGGCCCTCGGTCACGTCCGTGGGGCATGTGCGGGGCCCTGGGCCCTCGGTGCTACACACGACACTGAACGGTGACGGCCTCATCACCCAGCTCACCCTGCTGGGGGGCAA